CACGAGCAGATAAGCAAAGAGGGGAGTTCAAAAAGCAAATCAGACCGACAGCCCAATGTGGGCTTGAAGCAGAACTTTAGCAAAACGCCAATCAGGTCCAAGTGGTCTGGACTTGCCCACTATTGCTTTCTTCAGCTGGTAATGCCTCACCGGTGTGGGCTTTATTTAGCTGCTCCCGCTGGTATACCGTTTGTGATATTAAACTGCTTCTTATCTGAGGATTGATTTAGATTTCTTTGTTTGTTTTATGCAGTAACATATGCATAACCCCCTCCTTACTTTTTAGTAACTTCAGCTCCATCTTTTCCAGAGTTCAAGGCCGCCTTTGACATCTTCATCCAGGATGCTGAGGATGGCTGCATCAGCACCAAAGAGTTGGGGAAAGTCATGAGGATGCTGGGACAGAATCCGACCCCCGAGGAGTTACAGGAGATGATCGACGAGGTGGATGAAGACGGTAGGTCACACATTCCAGCATGTTTGCTGCCATCGGGAGCACGTTTGTCCCATGGCCGGATTTAAAGGGACATAGAGAGTCATTAAGTGGCTTTAGAGCCACTTCTATGACCCCCAGAACACAGAGGTAATCACATACCTTATCCCGTGATCACATCATGCCCTATGTTGACAGGCAGTGGAACAGTAGACTTTGATGAATTCCTGGTTATGATGGTCCGCTGCATGAAGGAGGAGAGCAAAGGAAAGTCAGAGGAGGAGTTGGCTGAACTCTTCCGGATGTTCGACAAGTGAGTTTTTTCCATCGCCGCTGACATCGCACAGGCCTGCCGTCAGATCTGAGGAAAAGCCGGTAGGCCTAGTAGAGAGTGCTGACACCCGGTTCTGTCTGCTGTCGACAGGAACGGAGACGGATACATAGACCTAGATGAGCTGAAGGCCATGCTGGAGTCCACCGGAGAGGCCATCACTGAAGACGACATAGAGGAGCTGATGAAAGATGGAGATAAAAACAACGACGGCAAAATTGATTATGATGGTATGGTATCCAGCACATGCAGCACAACCCCATATGGTCCAGTAGTTTACACTGAAAAAACACAGAAATACAATCCGTCTCTTCTCATGCATACACATCTAACCACACATACAGTGGTTATTGTGTGTAAGGTCACATAAATTAACAAATATCTTCTCAATCCCTTGTTTTTCTTACATATACCACTCTGTTTCAATCATTCCTCACAGCAGGAGGCTTCATGGTGACTTCTAACTTGCGCTGTGGTTTATCAGAAATCTGTCTTTAGTAATATAAAAGGCTGCAAGATAATAGAATGTAAATATGATGACTGATGATTGAGCACCTCCCATCCCAACTAAATGTACAGGGCACTAACCCTCTGGATAACTTGTTATCAGTACATCATCTCAAATTTCTTGACCAGAACTAAAGTTGAGGCTCTGCTCTGCAATAGGAGATATCCAAGCAAAGGGAAGAAAAGCAGCCACTGAAACAAACCACAGAGGGCCGCAGGTGGCTGAGGGGTGGAGCTCACAAAAGCTGGCGATCTCTTAAGATGAAAGAAATCACACGAGGAAAAAACAATACCAATTCAGCACAAAATACTGCAGCAAGAAGACTTCTTTTGTTTAAGTCTGGCAGTATTGACGAGTCCCAAGCAGCTTTTTACAGTGAAGTGTGAACCAGCCCTCAGCCAGCCTCCAGGTGAAACAAACCCAGAAAAAGAGACAATTAAGACACAAAGGAGAAGAAAACAGTCAGAAGTGGTCCATCTAAACAAAATATATTGAAATATAAAAATTTCTGCAATGCTTCAGTGTCCATATTTATGCTTTTTTAACCAAAACTAGGAATTGTAATCTGTGAAAACATCATCCAACTAACATGTCGACATCCCCAGAGACCCTGACGGCAGGTCATGGAAAAATCTGCTCCATGGGTTTGTGTTTGTTTGTTTGTTTGTTTTGTACACTCTAAAAAATCACAGATTCATGACAAAGACATTTGGATCCCCATGGTATTGTGATAGGATGTACTCACCGACACTGAATAACCACATCTTGGTAGTTATGGGCCAAAAGGGAATCCAAACAACCAAAAAAGGGGAAAACATCAGAAAATATTTCATTGAAGAGATAATAATTTGTGATGTGAAGAAAAACAGCAAAAGTTTGCCCATGTACTACTATGGTTGAACACAGATTGCTAACAGGACCGTGGCCTTTATTATCTCATGTTATGTCACATTTGGTCATTTGAGTCATCTAGCAGTCTGAACACCACTTTATTCTTAATATAATTGTCATATTTTCTTCAGTTATGTGTCAGTCCTCAGCAAGGCCATTCAAAGTTGGCTACGATGCAAAAGAGTTAGATATGAGTCAGGCTAAATAAAGAAGTCTTTACGGAAACGGTAACTGTTAAATACATATCAGGTAGTATGCATATTACGTTCTGCAGAATTGTAGTACCTTAGGGGACTGAACAGTACCTGGTAGCTACATGGGCTGAGTTTCTGGGCTACTTCTTTGTACAGTTTGCATGTTCTATGGTTCTCTAGCTCCATCCCATTGTCAATAAACACATATGTATGAGTCTTTTTTTTTTTATTTATTGTGTGAGCATGTGTGTTTTTCTGTCGGTTTAGTGTTGGCCTAACAACCTGTCCAGGGTGTACGCTGCCACACACATATATATCCACCATTAGTCATAGAAATGCATAAATCGTTTCATAATGGGGGATTATTTTTTTTACAGTACATCAATGAAAGGTAAAAGTATCATGAGAAGATAACCAGTATAAGAGTAGTTGACAAGGTGGAGTGTTTTCATCTTGTGTGTCAGGGTCTGTAAGAAACACCTTTTTTAAAGGTTCAAACTTTCACTGCTTTGTTTTCATTCACAGAGTTCCTGGAGTTCATGAAAGGTGTCGAATAAAGGATTCTACCAGAGGGGCCTCCTGTGCATTTATCATGCATTTGCTTTGATTGAGTCATCACTGATAAGTCCATTCCTGAAGACATACCCCCAACTTTCCCCTGCAAATATTTTGATTCATGGTAGAGGTTATAGAACAAGATGTAATTCAGAACGACTTTTCAATAAACATGTTTCCATAATCCTGTATCATGTCAGTTATGTATCAGTCTTAATTAATTTATCTCTCCCTTTCTCCGTATACATAATTCTGTGCACTATCATATGAATTCATCAGCTAGATTTGTCCATGGGCCAGACCATTTCTTGGGTGACACAAAGAAGCCAAACGCTTTTGGTAAATAGAATCCATTTAAAATATAATCCTAAGTATGCATCATTATTTGTTTCTCCCAAAGAGCCTTAAGATGAATATTGATGCAGAAAACCAATAATTAACTTGGCTATGTATGTGTACATATATATTTATATATATATAAATAATTTACTTAAGGTCCCTGTTGCACCTAATCTGTTTAAATAAAAAGTATGTACAGGATAGGATATCCTATCCTGTACATACTTTTATTTACACAGATTAGGTGCAACAGGGACCTTAAGTAAATTATTTCGTTCCATCTCATGTAATACCTGTTATAACAATTAAGTCTTCTTGAATCCTTAACACGCTGACTATTTGTAATAGCATGATACAGAGTACATAATTATTTCTTTGCAGAAATGGGAACTTATACTAATGGGCACAGTATTTATTTATTTTTTTTATTTTTGTAATTATGAGCCCAGGTCATAGTTTTCCAATGGTATCTTGAGATTTTTAAGATAAAAAACACGCATTTTAGTGATAAGATATATTTGATTACTTAAAGTCCGACAAAACTCAAAACATTGAAAAAAGGCACAAGTGCAAACAGCTATCAAATTAAATTTAACAGTCTTTATAAACCAACATCCACTACTAAATAATTTAGGATGCTGTAGTGTTCATACTTTTTTACAGCACATTTGTATTTTATATAAATAATATTTAAACATGTTCTTGTTATTTTTACCCATGAGTTTATCTCCACAAGAGGAGCGGACGGAGGAGCGGTTGAACCGGAAGTGAACTCAAGCCGAAAACAGGAAGTTCTTTCATTTTAGCTAAAGATCCTAAATTGTTTGCTTTTTTTCATCTTGCAGTCGCTATGCGCATCAAAACCATTAAATGCTGTCATATTTCAGAACTTTGAAATTCATGGTGTACATGAAGAAAGTTCAAAGTTATTATTCAAACAATTATCGCGCACTCGAATGTAACCCTTAAATGTAGCTAAACGTGTTTTTTCCCCGAAAGGAGCTTAGCTATCAGACCATGAGAAGCTAGCCGAACGTTATTTATCCACCGAGCTTTTCTACTCTCAGCGTGCCTAGGAATATCCACAACATTCAAGGTAAACCAAACGTATGTTTCGATTATGGCCTTTATGTTTCGTCCCTGTGCTTGAACTTGTTTTACACGTTTGAAGTACATTGGGGTGAGTGAGGGCAGCCCCGTGAGTAAGCGTGAACTAAATCCTACAATCAGCCGTCCTTTAAAGTATCCCTGTGTTGTGATAAATTCAGTGTAGTTGACTAACGTTTTCAGCTGGTTAATGGCAGAGTAGTGGAGGGATTGGTGGGCCGGTTGCCTGCTGTTTAACGCCAGCATCGGGCATGTTGTGAGTCTGTTCGTTAGCTTCTTTGCTAACTTCCGTCAGGTCCGGGGCTGGTTGACCCACGTCTTGTTTTGATAAACAGCTGGGAGTTTCTTGGAGCTGGTTGCGTACAAGAACCCGTCCACTATTTCTCTAAGTGACAGTCGTTTGGATGAATTAACATGTCAATGTTGTACTCCAAATACTTTCTCGTGGCACGTCGTAAATCTAACGCCTCTCGTTTTTTTAAAGCTGGTTTACATCACGATTGTTTTGACATTAACGGAGTGATCAGAACGCTAGTGGGAATCTGTATGTATGCTGGATGCTGAAGCTTTTCCTTTCACGTTGTTGGTTTTCCCTGACCCACAGGAGACAGCTGAGCACATCTGTTCACAGCTGGAGTTATCATGTTCCCCACCATAGTCTCAGGAAGGTGTGCCCTTTATGGTTTGTGACATTGTTGTTGTCACCTGATGGGAATAAAATGACTCCATGTTTTTGTTTTTGTGCTGCTTAAGGAAGATAAAGAAAGTTTAATGTTCCTCGTTTAGCTTAAGCAAACCAGCATTATCTTCACCTCCGGATTTGTCCAACCTTTTGAGGCATCGTCTTTCCCTGGTAGTTTGACTAAAACATGGACACCTCTGTTTATGTGGAGGCCTTGAGTGGCACAGCTGCTCTCCCATATCTGTGTTTTCATCGCTGTTTATGATGTGTATGCAGATTCCATGACAGAAGGATGTGTAAAAGCTGGATAAAGTGGCAGCAATACGCACAACGTTTACATCTTTGCTTGAGTTGTGTTTAGTTTTTTAGAAGCGATGGAAGCTACTCTTGGCTCTGGTCTGACATGCAGAGATTAAAATGATGTAACCCACCGACTGTTTGTGGGCTGAACTGACAATCTATAAAGGGACTGGCCTCTTTCCGGGTATGACAAATTACCCCAGATGTTCCCAGAAATTGAAGTGGTTTCTGAAGAAGAGCTGTCTCCATCCGCATGAGGAAAAAAAACAAAGCTTCAAATGTGTGTGCCAGGCAGCTGGCATTTCCTGTCAGTTCATCAAATGACTCTTCCTCAAGATCTCAGAGCTTTTCCTGGTTTCTGCTCTTCAGGCCAGTAATGCATTCCGGCCCCATATCCTGAAGTGATTAGTGAACAGCACTGTTCTCTGACTCTCAGATTTGTCCGAGGTGGTCAAAAGCTGTCTTAGTCACAGCTTCAGTGTGGCTGCGGAAAGTTCAGCTCGGGGTCAGTTGAAATTCCAAGGCCCTGGATTTGGTATTGAGCCCTCTGGATTCAAGCTGGGTGAGGACTCTCATTCTGTGTACTGTGCTGCCAACTAGAACAGTTTCTGTGTTACCCTGAAGAAAGCTTGGTTTCATCCGGCCGTTAACTTCCACACGTGGAGGGGTCTAATGGACCGGAGTGATTCGGTGAAAGAGCCGAGTAAATCTGAGATTCATCTGCATAGCTGTGAGAGGAAACATTACAGCTCTGGATGGTCTGACCCAGGGGAAGCATGAGGAGGTCGAATGCTAGTAACCCAACAACTGAGCCATGAGGGACTCCACAGCTCAGCAGGATACACTCACATTTATCCAAAAATGCTCCTGCTTTCATGGTTTGATGTGGCCCAACTGAGAGCTTGACCTGGCAACCCCACCCAATTCTCCAGTCTGCCCAGATTGAATTCCTGGTCCATGCTATCAAGGGTAGCAGCACAAGACCAGATAGATGCTCTACCTGCTCCACTGTTCAGATACCATCACATCATTTAAGACCACAGTCGGTGCCGTCTCATCTTTGATGTTTTTCTAAATCCAGACTGAAATCCACCTAAGAGACTGTTTGTATTTAGGAAGCTGTTCAGTTGATTGGATGCAGCTTTCCAGTAAAGGGAAGATCAGAGATGGCTCTGTAACAGCTCGATTCTCAAACATCCAAGGGGTGGGGGTGGCATTTGCACTATTCAGAGATCGGTGATGGGAATCTGAAACACACCCTTACAGCCTTGTGGCGTGTTGGTGGAAGCTGCAAATGCACCAGCAGACGGTGCTTAGTTAGTCAGACGTACCTCTGTGGTCCGTGTGGAGGCTCAGTTCTCCTCCATGTTTCTTGCAGCCGTTCTGGGTTCGGGATACTCTGCCCTGTTGGTTTTCCTGTCTCCCATTGTGGTGTTATTTCCCCCTGTCTCTCACAGAGTACCGGCTGGAGCAGAGGAAGTCGGTGGGATTCTCGCGCCCCTCGTCCCCGCTGAGCCCCGCGATGACATCACAACAAGCCCAGCTCCCCAACGGCGGCATCCCCCCCCCCGCTGGCCCGGAGCTCCTCTGCCCAGCACGCTCCGCCTGCCTTCCACGCCCATCAGGTGGACTCGGGCCACAGCGGGGCCACCTCCGGAGCCCTGGGCTACCGGGCCGTGGTCCGGCGGCCGGCCTGCCCCAGCGTGGCCCGCCCCAGCGGGGAGGCGTCCAGCCGGAAAGCCCCCGCCTCCTCCAGCTCGTCCCGGCGGGACCGGGGCCTGGAGCCCTGGCCGGAGGAGGCGGAGGACCACGCCCACGGCCTGTACTCGCTCCACCGCATGTTCGACATCGTGGGCGCTCAGCTCACGCACCGGGACGTGCGCGTGCTCTCCTTCCTGTTTGTGGACGTGATCGACGAGTACGAGCGGGGGGGCATCCGCAGCGGGAGGGACTTCCTGCTGGCCCTGGAGCGCCAGGGCCGCTGCGACGAGACCAACTTCCGACACGTCCTCCAGCTCCTGAGGATTATCACCCGCCATGACCTGTTGCCTTACGTCACCCTCAGGAGACGGCACGCCGGTGAGCACAGGCCCGAGAGGCTCCGGGAGACAGCCAGGGGTTTCGGACCCTAAGAGCTGTAGTCCCGTGCCATGTCACACACAGGTCAAACGTAGGTCAGCCTCTTTAATGCACGTGTAGTCTTTAGCACAGAGGCTACTTTCATCAAAACAAACTACAACAAATGGGTCAAATACTGGGTGGGAAAAGTATCAATACTCTAAAAAGTATAGATACTAAAACGCTGTACCCGGAGACAATACTCATTTTCAAAAGTATCGATACCAAGCCCCCCCACGCGCCCCTTCTCTCAGATTTATTTACTTACGTTGTTTATGATAATTAACGTGACGTTAGCCTTGAATTGCTAGCTGCGGCTAATGTCTAATAATAACGATTACATCAGTAATAGGTCAGTTTGAAATTAAAGACACTAAGCTGTCGAAATTCAGTCAAATTGTGGGGTCTTTGTTTTTATCCTTATGGTATCTAAATGGTATTGAGTATCGATTGAGTTCCTGAGTATCAGTATCCAGTTGAAAATGTTAGTATCGTGACAACCCTATCATATAGTGGTTCAGACCTGCTCCTGGGTATGGCCGTTCTTCCTTCCGTGCTCCTTTTATGGTTGACATTGTCAGCACGCGAGCCGATTGGTCCGTGTGACGAGCCGCAGGTGGTTAACCGGGCTTCTGTTTTCAGTCTGTCCAGATCCCGTGGACAAGTACCTGGAGGAAACCTCCGTGCGTTACATTTCACCCAGAGGAACAGAGCAGCGGAAGGACACCGTGCCTCACAGAAGAACAGGTGAGTGCCCACCAAACCCCCCCCCCCGTTGTTTGCTGGACCGGTTCCATTTCGAAGCCCCCGGGGTGGCAGACTCTCAGTACCCACGACCACAGCGTCCTCTCAGAGGATGCGGCTCAGGCTGGACCGGGCCTCTCTGGTCCAGACGAGTGAAGCTCCACGCTGATGTCGTCCTTTAGGTTCGCAGCCCGTCATTTGTTGCCCCCCGTCGGGACCCCACGTCGGCTCGCCTCGAACGAAGCCCGCCCCCCCCGCCCCGCACCGCAAACGGAAGAGGAGTCACTCCTCGGCCGACTGCAGGGAGAAGCAGACCTGTGGTAGGACCCGTTAGAACCGGTGGCCCGTGATGCCTGTGGCTTTCTGTTGTTGTCCTTTCCATTGAGAGGTGGACTTTGGTGGGATGTCCACCGAGTGTGTTTGTGTCCATCCGGGCCGGACAGCTCTTGAAAGAAACGCGAATCATGAATCAAGACATTCTGGATCCATGTTCCTTCCACAAAATGTTTATTGCCCTGACCACCTCTAACAAAACAAAGAAAACTAAACAGAAAACCCAGGAGAGTGCATACAGATACGTGTCCTGTTTCATATGGAATCTGTAGGGATTATTGAGGGTTATTGAGTTTTTGACTGGATTGTGTTTGGGTTTTTGTGTTCTCTCCCAGACATCCGCCTGCGGGTGCGTGCAGAGTACTGCCAGCATGAGTCGGCGCTCCAGGGCAACGTCTTCTCCAACAAGCAGGAGGCCGTGGAGCGGCAGTTTGAGCGCTTCAACCAGGCCAACACCATCCTGAAGTCCCGAGACCTGGGCTCCATCATCTGCGACATCAAGTTCTCGGAGCTCACTTACCTGGACGCCTTCTGGAGGGACTACATCAACGGGTCCCTGCTGGAGGCCCTCAAAGGGGTCTTCATCACGGACTCCTTAAAACAGGCCGTGGGCCACGAGGCCATCAAACTCTTGGTCAACGTGGACGAGGAGGACTACCAGGCCGGCCGCCGCAAACTGCTGCGCAACCTGGTGACGGGGGGGGGGAGCCCTCCGCTGGCTAACCGGGATGCTGTGTCCTAGACGCAGGGGGGGGGGGGGGGGGCCACACCGCCGGGCTTCCCAGAACACAGGAGCGGAGAGGGCGCGGCGTGTTGTTTAAGGTGCGTGTCTGAAGGACCTGAGCGACTTCCAGCCATCCCATTAGTTCCTACAGAGCTGATCTCATAGGATTACGAAGCGGCACCCCTGAACATAGCATGCAAGAAGACGTGGAACTAAGCTAAGACAAACATTTAGGAAAATGCATACTGACATTACTTTCAATGTTGATCGGCTCATTTTTCTGTGAGGATGTGACCGCTGATCATGTGTGCATTGAAACTTACACACTTCTCGTTTGTTGTATGTTAGCGCATTAAAATGCCTCTTTTTTTTAAAAACTTTGTTAATACCCTTCACTTCTACTCTAATGTGAAGTTCTCTTCAATGCAGGTAACACGCTCAACGTTAACAAGTTGCTCCCAGTGGGAGTTGGTCCGTTCTGTGAAAACTAGCTCATCTTTATCCCAAATTGCACCTTAATTGGATTTCCCAGTTAGAGTGTTGTGTAACCAGTGGCAGGCGAGGAAGCCGATCTACGACTCTTTTCCAGCGAAGCCTCTTGTCTCGGCTTCCTGTAGGAAATTTCTGCCTTGAGAATCAAACGGGATTCTACCTTCATTTGAAATTTCAGTCACTGCCAGTATTTAGAGAGGATGTTTTCTGGATCGTTCTAATGTCTGTGATTGAATCCGTGGAAGGATGGACTGTTCCTGGTGTATAAATTCCACTCCACTGCTGTAGACTGGTCTTGATTTGAGTTTGCGTGACACTGTGGGCCTATCCTTCACCTCTCCCGTCAATCTGTTTTTTATTTCCATTTGAAGTAACACTCATCCAATAAACGGCAGAGAAATCAGCCCTCCTGTGCAGTGACGTTTCTAGGGGGACGGCAGGACGCCTGGACAGATCCACTTAGATCCTCAGAACTCACGTGTTGGTATTTCGACAGATGTGTACTCTCATCTTTGTGATGCCTCGTCTATGAACCCTTGTGGTGATTTTAACTGACGCCCATCTCGCTCCCAATCCAAAGCTTTCCGATTACAAATGTTGGAGAAATGACTATTTATTGACTGAAAGCGCAGGGTGTCTGGTTTACTTCCTTTCTTTTTTTAGGTGCAGAGCAGAGGGATTTTCTTTATTTTGGATCAAATCCACAAAAACGGTACTATAAGTCCAGCACTTGTCCTGACCGAAAGCGACCGGGTCAAAGCTCTGAATGGCGTTGTAGCATCTTTCAGATACTTCCTCTCCATCCAGAAAGCGTCTGCGCATTGTGTGTGAAGAGGCACCGGTTTACTCAGACTGAGGAGGAGACGCTTGGATCGGTTCTGGGTTGATCAAAGTTTGTTTAATTCCACTGCCACCATCAGTCAGGCTGCGTCGAAATAAAGAGAGAACAAACACGTGCCAGGTGTTCCTTATTTTGCAGGCCAACCCTTTAACCTAATCTCTCATTCAGTGTTTTTGATGTTTTTTCTGCAGACGGGGATTTAAAATTCAGTTGTTTAATTATAATTTTTCCTCAAAAATATCTTGAATGATCTATAAACCTCTCTGTTTTGGTTCAGCAGAGTAGAAAGATAAGGAAAAAAAATTTGTGGCATCAAATGATGGTTTTCAATGACAAAATATAGGAAGGTAAAGTCTTATGTGACCTGGCTCTAATTGTTGGTGCCAATGTGTCCTAAACTCGATTGGCCTGTTAGGACCAGAGGACTCTCAGCGTGCTTTGGTTTTTCACTATTTAAAATTAACTTATTGTTTGCTCTTTTTCTCCCCCTTCAGTTGTGTGTGAGACATATACAGACACACTTCACGTGTGGCTTTGAAGAGGCCAGAAGCAAAGCATCAAAAACCTACGAAAATGTCAAGCTCGCAAAATAAAAGACTAAAAGCATTTTAAAAGCAAGTGGTGTGGCGTTGGACAGGAAGTCATTGATAGGTGGAACTTAAGCCCACAGATGCTCCACGTTTCATCCTGTTGAGTTTTGAACTCATCAATTAATCAAAGCATAGCTTGTTTGGTTTTGAATTTTATTATTTGGCAGCCTGAATATTTTTAGTTTTTTTTATTCAAAATATGCCTATGTGTTTACTGTATCTTTCTAGTCTACTTTTACCTCAGATTTCTATAATATAGGTAAAATACTGTCTTCATCTCTATCAGTCAAGTTCAGCTGATGATTTTGATAAAAAATGTTTATATTTACCAGGTTTGTTCTTCACAGAGGAAAAGCGGGACTCATCCTGTCTGGCTTAACGGCTGCGTTAGACGGTCAACCGTGGCAACCTTCTGTCTATACTCTTGCCTGGGTGTCACAGAGAGCACGCTCCTGGATTGAATCGTACTCCCTGGTTGGCCGTTCAAAGTACGCTGACCTCACCACACTTCTGCAGAGCACCACGTTACAACGGGGGTCCCCCAGGGCTCAGTACTGGGACCTCTTCCCTTTGCTACCACTAGCCATCCGCATCAGACCAAGTCACTGATGTTAGCCCACATAGCGCCAAGGGGTTCGACCTGTCCTAGGTGCCACCTGGGTTACGGCACAGTATCGGAGAGACACCCAAAAAGCAGCATCCTGTTGGAAAACCACGACCAAGTCAATCGCTGGCTGCTCCACCTCCAGAGGAAAACGCCATGTAGCACCTGAATACCATCCAGCAAAGATGAGAAAAGGGATTAAATGCGTTGTCAACATAAATCTTTATGGATCTCATCAGAGAAGCCCATGCTTTTGTTATGTCCATGAAGCAATAATGTAAGCCAACACAAATTGTTTAAAAAAAACAAAACTAAAAGGATTATAATGAAAAGGCATAGACAAAGAGCTAGCCCAGAAACCCACACCAGTGGGATTGTGACCATTTTATTTCTGCATTTATTCATTTACTTCAGTCAATCACATACCCCCCACCCCCCCAAAAAATAAAAACCCTGTTACTTTTTGTGTGGAGGGTAGTCGGATGAATAGGTGGCTTATGGGGATCATGGCACATTCGTATCCACATTTTTACAAATGGTGACCACATGCATCTTAGATCAACAAAGTGATCGGATTTTCAAGGCATAATTAGTGCTTTTACGTCTAGATTTTCCCACATCGATAAAAACAAACAGGTAGGCTGACAAACATCGGGAACATGGCTTTTGTTTCTTAAAATATTCTTAAAGGAACGTTCTGGCTGTGTGGTCTTTGAATTGAACGTTTAGTCTTACATCTTGTGGGATCGAATAAAAAAATCTAACTAAACGACAAACGTGTTTTTCAAAGAGAAATAAAAAAGCCAAAACGCACATTGTTCTGACTAAAACCTTTAGGGGTCACATGTTGACTATATTCCAGTTAGAAGTCATCCGGAATACCCCAACCAGCAGCCATATTGGCATTTCATCGGTCATACATGAGTGTAAATGTGTGAAATGGGATTTGGTATATATGACGACATGTTTTCTCTGCAGACGACGGCTACAAATGGGTTTGGTAACTGAGAGGTCCTCCAGAAGGCAGCTTTTGGAAGGGCCAGGGCAGTTTATCACAGGAGGGGGAGGTGGGGGGTGGGGGGGGCTTAAGACCTGAAGTCCTTTTTACAATGGGGCTTGTTTCTCAGGATGCAGTCGATCTCAGCTGCAATCGCCAGCGACAGCTTGGGAAGAATCTGTGGAGGGAAGGCAGAGGAAGCATCGGTGCCAGCATTTCTGATGGACAGGAATAGAAATAAAATACCTCACGCTAATAACAGGTCAGTGGACATGCGTACTTCAGATTATTTTAGCTCAAAAGAAGTATTGTAATCTGCACATAAAAAAAGCAGTCTACAAAAAACAGGGGAGGGCTGGGGATTTTAAAAGTGAAAAAAAAGTGTGTGGGGGGGGGGGGGTAATTTCCCAGATATTAATGAAAACAAAACAGTGGCCCATGAGAACTGTGGTACTCTGTGCTATGCATCTAAGACTAGTCCCTTAGCCTTAATTTTTTTACATCGACCGAAAAAAAGAACAACTATTGTTAAGCATCTGAAACCTACTTAATAAAATCAAGGATTATTTGACAGCATTCAAGGGCTTGAAGATGGTCCTGAATCCTAAACTTCAATTCTGTTCCGTAACATCTTTTACAGTAAAGTTGGAAAAATAAACAAGAGGATTTTCTTCAGAACGTAGACGGTTCAAGTTCAGAGGAATGGCTTTTGGATTTGGGTTAGTATTGAGTTATTTTAGGCTGGAGCAAATCTTAAGTCATTAAAGCAAGTGGGACCACCTGGACTGGTCCACACCTGGTCTGGAGTCTGACCACCTAACTGACCATAACCAGAGCAGGTGGGGTTTCTGACCTGTATCGCTTTGATGTTCTCAACCAGCTGGTCAGTTCTTGAGGCTCCAAGTAGCACGGAGTTCACCCCTTCATTTCTCAGGCACCAGGCTGTGGGAATTCACACAACATGGATCAAACAAACAGTAAATGCTGTCCTGTTCCAGTTATGGTCAGCAATTCATTTAGTGCATAATATTTTCTATGGAATAAGAGGCAGTGTATTGTAAGGGTTTAGCACGAGTATCCTCTTTGATTATTTACTCTAAAAGACATCCAAGTGAGGAACAAAAATAGAACTGACCACTACTGGAGATATCAGTGACATATACAACCAAGTGAAGTTCTTTTAAGAAAAATATCAAATATCTTACATGACTTAGAAAAGACATCAGACAGCATATATCAGCTATTTTGTCAAGTTGTCATTGACATTGTCAAAAGAAAAAAGCTAAGTACTTCTAAACATTTGGGCATACGGTCCATCCAGTATTGACTTTACCAATAGCCAGCTGGGAGAGAGTGCAGTCCAGCCGCTCACAAACAGTCTGCAGCTCTTTCAGCTTCACCTGCTGGCGGTGCCCCTCCTCGCTCAGGATCTTCTCCTTTATCCACTGGTAGCCCTGTGGAAGACGGCCCATACGTTTAAGATGAGAACAAGTGCTGTTGATTCCCCTTCAGGCTCCTTAAAACTGAAGAAAATCCTCTCACACCCCAGAGGCCTTGAGTTTTTCAGGCCTCTTCGAACGTCCTGTCAGGACGTTCCTTCAGAAGCCAACTGGCACATTTCCTCTCTTTCGCTTTTAAAATCGTGTTACAGTGGTTTGCAACACTAACTATGCAGAAAACTGGACATAATAGAGGTCAATGTAGAAACAATCTCTGTAGTAACTCTGACCATTGCTGAATCCGACCTGTGAGGACATGTTCAGCCACATATTGTCCTCCAACTGCTGGCTATTGAGGTGGTTCCAGCAAACAGTGTGGGCCTCACAGCTAACAGGAGGTCCTACTGGGGAATACCTGGTCTGACTGGCACCCGCCCTACTTTGGATGGGGGGGCTGTCATATCTAGAGATCTAGTTGACTTGATTAGTCATCCAGAAACAGGACTGAGAGGGACTGGTGGTCATCGGTGGTCAATTCTGCCTGCAGCATGAGAATCTCATTGGCATCAATGAATCTAGTTTTAGCTCTTCAGAATGTCTGACTCGATTTTTCTCAGCTAAAGTGGAAATCATATCTATGATTATCATTTTTTTGTTTCTAGTCCTACAGTTAGGAACAGAATCTGTCCTTTGCATTTTTGTGTTTTTTTAATATAGGTTTTCTACTGGTGGTTCTTGAGTTTTTAAAGCACAATGGGAGGCAGAGCCTTCAGGGATCAGCCTGGGCCTTCAGGGAACCAGTCTGGGATCAGGAAGCAGATCCCGCCTCTGTGGAACCAGTCTGGGATCAGGAAGCAGACCCCCCCCCCTCTGAGGAACCAGTCTGGTATCATCCCATCAAAAGTTGGTTCTTTTTCTAATGTATCCTCTATTTTTTAAGAATGTCAGCAACTCATTTTTGCCCAAAGGCTGCAGAGTAAACTAAGTCGAGACAATACTGTTAAAAGGTAGGAGAGGTCAAAGCGTTACCTTAAGTGATGCTCGTGTATAGGGGGGGATTCCGCTGTCGTATTTCCCTGAGATGACGCCACATGCCAGCGGAGACCATGTCATAGCCCCAATGCCTGCATGTCCAAAACCAGCTTTGTAAGGGTCCAGCTCCCACACGACTGGACTACATTCAGTCACAGTTGGGAAACCAGAAAACCATCCATCCATCCATCAGTCCATCCATTAGCGTAACCGTTGATTCCCTGATGGGATCGCGGGGAGAACTGGAGCCTATCCCAGTAGTCAACAGGAGATAGGCGAGGTCCCCCTTGATGGTCCCCAGTCCATCACAGGGACACACAGAGACACACAAAAAACAACAACTACAACCACGTACACTCACTCCTAAGGGGAGTTTGGAGTCCAACCAACCTGACATGCAGGTTTTTGGAGGGTGGGAGGAAGCCGGAGAACCCGGAGAGAACCCACAGACACAGGAGAACATGCAGACTCCACCCAGAAAGGTCCTGGTTCCCCCGGGACTCCAACCCAGAACCCTCTGGTCCTGGTTCCCCCGGGACTCCAACCCAGAACCCTCTGGCAGAAAGGTCCTGGTTCCCCCGGGGACTTCAACCCCTGTGATGGACTGAGGACCGTCCAGGGTGACCCCGCCTCTCCCCATTGACCACTGGGATAGGCTCCAGACCCCGCACGATCCCATTAGGGATTAAGCTGTCCCCACAATGGATGGATGGGTGTGGTGTCCTGACTTTCTTGGCTGGTGCTTACCTATTTTGTGGAAGAGGTCAGGTAGCTGCACTTCAACCTTCTCCCTTTGGAACATGTGGTACTCTGCCTGCTCGCAGATGGGAGGGATCTGGTTGAACTGCCGGGCCACAGAGTATGCCTCCTGAAGCAAAGGGCAGGGAGTCAGGCTGTCAGATGGCCTCTGGGACCCAGTTTGTTTGACCGTTTTCGTCAAACTCTGTACTTGTGGGAATTGCCATCTGTGCTATGCGCTGAGGTTTGATCAAGAGACAATCCAGTGCCAATCTGCACCAGTTGAACTCTACCAGGAAATATGTCAGTTTGAATCTGGTTACAAAGAGCCAGAAGACAGAAAATGCTCTACTAGTGAATGCTTCTGACTTACCATGATCTCCATGGAGGTCCACCGGGATGTACCCCAGTACATAGCCATCCCCTGGTTGATTACAAAGGTCATTGCCCTCACCGTTTCTGACAAAAGTTCAAAAGACTCAGCTATTAGATTGAATCCATGTTTTATAAAAATGAAAAACATCAAAATGATTTTTTTTTTCAAGTAGGTTTTCTGACTTCAGCTGAAGAGGCTGAAGAGCCATAAGTGTTCCAAGTTTATGAACTGTTTTTAATTTCATTTCTATCTTATCTTAACATCTTAACATCTACTGATAATAATTTGTGATGTGATAATATATAATTTTCCCATCAGGAATCAATCAAATATGATGGAACTGAAATGTAATGTCATCTAATTTATTGGACAATGAAAAAAAAGAAAGACTGCCTGTTATTCCAGCCATCATTCATGTTTTGACATATCACGTGAACAGAAAATGACTAAATCACTCGTGTTTCATCTTCACATTTTGATTGGTAGAGTCTGAAAAAATTCTTAGGATTATGATTTATTTTGAAGCTTAGAGGAATTCTGCTGTGTCTTTGAAATGCCTTTAGAAAGATTTGGCACTATATAAATCCATGTTTAAATTAAATTAATCGTGATGAGAAAAACATTACAGAAAGCTTTCTAAAACCTAACACTGAAACAGGCAAAAAAAACAGACACAGACCTTCAATAGGTGTCGTGGGATCTGGTCGATTTGCAAAAACCACATCCACATATTTCAGCTGAAGTCTTTCCAGTGATGCTGTCAGACCTAATGAAGACATGTTAAATCACTTGTACATAAATATGTCACGATAAACAGATTAAAGCATAGATGGAACAGTATTCAGCCAGCTCTTGATTCTACCTCTCCTAATAAAGAAAGAGTGGCTTCTTCCATTTACAGTAGTCTTTCTATTCTGAAGTCTGGGTGTTTTTCAGCTAATTTTAGAGTGTGTTTTTATAAGTTACTTACAAATAAGCGATTCAAACTCAACCATATATCTTGAGTTACAGTTTTTGAGTTACAGTGGATGTCTCCTAAACATCGTAAGGCTCTGCAGAGCATGCAATCGATATGTAGACATATGTTATATAAGGGTAATAATATGTAAATATTACCACTTTTCTGAAAGCCTTACCTTCAATTATATGTTTTCTGGATAAGCCTCTTTCCATTTCTGCTCTGAAATAAAATAATAATTATTATTATTGAAAAATATGCTCTAATAACACTTCTATTAATTTCAGTGCAAAATCAAATTCTTAGCAATTAAAACAGAAACAATTCTTAATATACCGGGGTACTTTAAACAAACTTTGAACAGGTTGAATACAAATATAAATACAATTAAATTAAATAAGAATAGAAGAAAAGGCAGCCTTGTTGTGACTGAAGTAACATCATTGATTCAACTCAATTTCACCTGGATCATTAAAATTAGCAAGAAAAAAAAAAAGAAAAAAAGGGTGTCAACTGTAAATCTTTAGAGTGCCTTCAAGCAGCTTGAACATTAGCTCAATCCAGAGGGTTAATTGTTTGAATGGCCACTCATTTGTCGTTTCCAACCTCACCAGCCATCTTTATTCCCAGCAAAAGTTTCTTACAAGTATTCATCCACCTTATTTTAGATCCACACTATCTCACATGAGGGACTGAATACCAGTATAGAAAACATATACGTACTTTCCGCCCCAGAAGAGTTTGGTGGTGATGACTAAACTGGAACGCCTATGTGAGAACACATAAATGTAACACAAAGTAAAGTTATTCGATGTTACACAGCACATAAAAGCAAGAAAATAAAGTCTACCTCCATGCTTTCTTCTTCAGGATACTTCCCAAGACAACTTCGGCCCTGGTAAAGGAAATAGAAGAGACACTTTAAAAAAAAAAAAAAGAATAATCTCACATTTCAGCCACTTTAAAAAAAGGATGTGCTCTTTTTGGCAAGCAACCCACAATCAGAACAAAATGGCCCCAACCCCCCATTCCAACCCATTCAGGCCATCTTGTAGAGTAAAACATCTG